TTACAGCAGCTGAATTAAGACAGAATGATATAATATTCACTTTTTTTCACTCAATACTACATTTTTGAGATTCATTCACACTAATAAGTATAGGTAAAGTTTAATAATTTTCATTGCTATAAAATAGATCAGTGAATGATTGGTTTATCCAGCTTAGTATCAGTGAACGATTTGTGTTGCTTCTATATTTCTGTCATTAAATAATGTTGTTGTTAACATTCTTGCATTTGTCTCTCAATAAAGACATGCATGAGCTTTCTCTAGGATACACTCCTAGGACTGGTAATGCTGGTATACACCAGTATTCAACTTTACTGTAGACTAGTACTGTCCTGATTAATCTCACACCCATCTGATGCCATACAGGGTTATTAGAATATTATTGACCATATGCCCTATGCTGTATTTATATTCCCATGACTACTCTGTAACAACCAATTTGTACTTCTTAATCCCTACACCTTTTTCACCTATTCTCCCTCCAATATCCCTCCCATTAGGCAACTGTCAAAACACTTTCTGTATCTATGTTCTGTTTGTTCGTTTATTTTGTTTTTTAGATTCAGTTGTTGGTAGATATGTATTTACTGCCATTTTATTGTTCAACTTTTTAACTTTTCTTCTTCTCTTTCTCCTTCTTCTTCTAGAAGACCCTTTTAACATTTCATATAATACTGGTTTGGTGCTTTTAAGATTATCTCTTTGTCTTAAACCTTTTGCATTTTAATTATGATGGGTCTTGGTGTGGACCTCTTTGGGTTCATCTTGTTTGGGACTGTCTGCTCTTCCTGGACTTGTTTGTCTATTTCCTTCACCAGGTAAGGGAAGTTTTCTGTCATTATTTTTTCAAATAGGTTTTCAATTTCTTACTCTCTGTCTTCTCCTTCCAGCATCCCCATGATGTGAATGTTGTATGCTTGAAGTTGTCCCAGAAGTTCCTTACACTTGCCTCATTTTTTAAAATTCATTTTTCTTTTTGCTGTTCTGATTACGTGTTTTTAGCTTCCTTATATTCCAAATCGCTGATGTGATTGTAGGCTTCATTTACTCTACTATTAATTCCCTGTAGCTGTAGTTTTTTTATTTTTTTATTTAGTTAGTTATTTTTTGAAAGAGAGAGAGAGAAAAACATTGATTGGTTGCCTCCTGTATGCACCCTAACTAGGACTGAACCCATAACCTGGGTACATGCCCTGAACGGGAACTGAACCCACCACTTTTTGGTATAAAGGACAATGCTCCAACCAACTGAGCAACACTGGCCAGGGCTCTAAATTATTCTTCATTTCACTTAGTGTATTCTTCATTTCTGACTGGTTCTTTTTTATGGTTTCCATGTCCTTTTTTATGCTGTTAGAAAGTTCTCACTAATTTCAATGAACATACTTATAAACAGTGTTTTGAACTCTGCATCTATTCGATTGCTTGTCTCCATTTTTTTAGTTATTTTTCTTGCATTTTGTTCTATTCTTTCATTGGGGACATGTTTCTTTGTCCCCTCATTTTGGCAGCCTTCCTGTGTTTGTTTATATGTGTTAAGTAGAGCTGTCATGTCCCCAGGCTCGGTAGAATAGCCTAATGTAGTAGGTGTTCTATAGGGTCCAATGGCACAGCCTCCCCAATCACCCAAGCTTGGCACTATGAGTGGACTATGTGCATCCTCCTCTTGTAGTTGAGTCTTGACTGCTATTTATATGTCAATAGGAGGGGTTGACTCCCAGGATGATCAGCTACAATAATTGGTTGTGACCACTGACCACCAAGCAACATCCATTCATATGGAAAAGCCACTGTGAACAGCTTGGGTGAGCCTGAAAGTTGGGTGGGGCTGGGCCTCAGGTAATCACCAGCATGGGCCAAACAGTGTGAGCCAGGTTGATGGAGTCTCAGATAAGGTGCCTCTCTGCTGGCTCTGTGTGGAGTGCTCATCAAAGGCATAATGGCCTTTAGCAACACTTTTGTCTTGGATAAAACTGCCCCTGCCCAGCTCTTCCCCTGATGCCAGACAATTCAGTTCCTCCATGTATGCCTGCGGCACCTTTCAAGCTGCTGGCCCCGTGCTGGAGCTCAGTGGGAGTTAGTCTAAGTAAGTCTGTGTGTGAGCCAGTTTAAGAGCAACTGCCTGGGGCCAGTAGCTCTGTCTCCCTAAGTCTTCATCTCCGCTGGTTTTTATAGCCAGAAATTATGGTGATTTCTCTTCCTGGCACTGCAACCCTGGGTTTGGGGGCCTGGTGTGGGCTGTGACCCCTCACTCCTCAGGGGGTACTTCCGCAGCCAAGATATCCCTCCTGATTTTTATCCACCACAAGAGGGAGTGGGACCAGCTGGTTCTGTCTCCGCCTCTCCTACCAGTCTCAATGTGGCTTCTTCTTTCATTTCCTACTTGTAGGACTTCTATTCCGCTAATTCTGAATGATGGTTGTTCTATAGTTTAGTTGTAATTTTGATGTGGTTGTGGGAGGAGGCAAGTATCATGTTTACTTATGCTGCCATCTTTTTTTTTTTTAATTTATATTTTTTATTGATTTCAGAGAAGAAGGGGAGAAGGAGAGAGAAATAGAAACATCAATGATGAAAGAGAATCACCAATCAGCTGCCTTGAGCCCACAACCTGGGCATGTGCCCCTGACTGGGAATCAAACCGTGACCTTCTGGTTCATAGGTTGATGACTCAACCACTGAGCCACGCCGGCCAGGCTAACCTATACTGCTATCTTGACCAAAAGTCCTGGTAAATGTTTTCCAAAGTTATTGTAGCAATTTAAATTCCCACCAGCTGTGTATGAGAGATTATTTTGTTCCTAAACCTTTATCAACTTTTGGTTTTATCCAACCCTAAAATTTTTTCATTCTGGTTAATATAAATTGTATCTTTATGGTTTAATTTGCATTTTCCTCACTTCAAATGTGTTTGACCTCTTCAGATATACTTATGAGTTGTGTTTCTCTTCTATAAAATGCCTGTTCATATCTTTTGCTCTTTTTTCTTTGGGTTTTCTTTTTCTTATCAATATATAAGGCTTTTTATACATTCTGGATATTAAAATCTTTTTCATTTTCATATTACAATTATATTCTCCCAGATTTTAGTTTATATTTTCATCTCTTTTTTAAACAAAACAAAACATTTTCATTTTGAATGTAATCAAATGTATTAACCTCTCATTTTTGGTTTGAATTCTTTGTGTTTTATTAACAGAATCCTTCCTTATCCTGTGGGCATAAAGTTACTGTCATTTAAAAGTTTTATAGCATTGCCTTTCATATTAAAATCTCTAACTTAATGGGAATTTGTCTTTGTACATGTCTTTAGGTAGGCACCCAACTCTTTCTTCCAATTGAATTGCACTGGGACCATCCTATATAATAAAAGCCTAATATGCTAAGTGTCTGGTCATTGATAGTTCAACCAATCAAAGCGTAATATGCTAATGATATGCTAAGGCTGCTCAACCGCTCACTATGACATGCACTGACCACCAGGGGGCAGATCCTCTGACTGGTAGGTTAGCTTGCTGCTGGGGTCCGGCTGATCGGGACTGAGCTACATGGGCCGGACACACCCTGGAGCCAACCTCCTGCAGTCCCTCCCTGGCCCTAATTGTGAACTGGTGGAGTTCCTCAGCCCGGCCTGCACCCTCTTGCAATCCAGGACCCTTCGGGGGATGTCGGAGAGCTGGTTTTGGCCCGATCCTGCAGGCCAGGCCGAGGGACCCCACTGGTGCACAAATTCGTGCACCAGGCCTCTAGTTTTTTTTTAATAACCATCTTTCCCACCCGCTGACCTTCAGTGCCCTTAATGTTCATATATATGTGGGGATCTGATTCTGCATTCCATTCAACTGGTCTATCCCTATTCATGTCAGTTCAACACTGTCTCAATTACTATACACAGAAGAAATCTTAAGGTCTTGTAGCAAGTTTAATTTCTTCAGGAGTGTCTTGGATATTCTTGGACCTTTGCTCCTTCATATCAATTATAGATTTAGCTTCTTAAATTCAAAGAAAAACTCTGTTGGGGACAATGGAATTTCAATGATTCTTTGGGCAGAACTGGCATTCTTAGAATACTGAAGTCTTGGCAATACACACAAAAAAGCTCTATTTAGATCTTTTGAATAAATTATTTTTATTACATTTTTCTAAAGTACTTTATAACTTGGGGTGCTATAATAAAATTTTTTAAAAATTATATTTCTAACATAGTTTTTCTGCTGTTTAAATGTAATTGAGTTTTTAATAGTGTTTTTGCTAAACATTCTTATTTATCCTAATAACGCATATGGTTAGTATTAGCTTTTCTACATTGACAGTCATCATTTGTAAAAATGTTGGATTTTTTTTTCTTTGCAGATGTTACGCCTTTTTTTTCTTCTAGCATTACTTGGGCATAATACTCAATAATTTGAGTAGAAATTATGGTTTGGGGCATCTTTATATTGTTCCTAATATAAAAGAAATGTTATTAGCATTTCAAAATTAAGTATATATTTTCTGTGGGTTTTTTTGTTTTGGTTTGGTTTGGTTTTTGGAGATGGGCTTTATCAGGTTATGGGAGTTCCTTTACATTCCTAGCTTGTTTAGAATAACCTCTTTTTATTTTTCTGCATTTACTTACATGATCATGTTTTTAATCCTTTATTCTCTTAATATAGTAAATTATATATATTAACTGTAATAAATTTGAATTTTAAATGTTAAACTAACTTGCATTTCTGGGATAAATCCAATTTAGTCATGATGTATTTGTCATTTTTATTCATTATTGGATTCAGTTTACTTAGATTTTACTTAAGATTTATGAGAGAGATGGGCCTATAAATTTCTTTTCTTATACTATCCTTGTTAGCATTTGGTATTGCTCTAAATTATCTCTTTCATAAATAATTGTGGGGGGCTGTTTCTCTCTTTTCCACGTCCCGCATGGAAAAGGAAACAGTCCATTTGCTGAGTGGAGGAGCTGGGGATTAAGAAATTAAAGAAAGACCAAGACGCAGAAATAGATTTTAAGCTGGGGCCAGGTGGGCGCCATCCTCTCTGATGGAGAGGCGGCAAAAAGCGGCTGAGCCACACAGCAGGTTTATTTTAAAGCCCTAGATTTACCTATCTAGTTCCACCCCTGCCTGATTAACATGTCCAGCCTTATTGGGGAAGCATGTTCCCAGGGTGTGGCTCTGCCTAAGCTCTGAGTTCAGCTGACAATAATTATAAGAAAATGCCTAGGTGCTTCCCTGGCGGCCCTCTACATCTCCCCCATTTTTGTTTTTTAAGCTACTATAATAAAAGTAAAATTTTAAACATTAATAGTAGGGCTCTAGAATTAAAACAATTGCAAACAATGCAAATACTAAACTACATACATGTTATCATTTTCAAAATTTGAACGTTAAGAACAAAACTGGCTATTAAATAATAACAAAACAATGCCAATGCAAAACAACAATATGAGAAATCAGAACTATGGACATATTAACATTCTTGCTACTAAATGAAAAAAAGTCTCTTTTGCTGCTGGTGTATATTTACTCAGAGTCCTTGGACTTGGCTGCGCAAGACTTTGCAGAAGACTGGCAGCTAACAGATGCTAGCATGAGCAGGAACAATGTTGAAGAAGTAGCTTCAACTTCTTGCTTTTCCACAATCTGTTGCACTTCAGTCGTTAACTTCTTCAGATGACTTCATATTGGCACAACAGTCCCTTGCATCTTTCAGTTTTCTTTTTCTTCCCTTTTGCTGTCATTAGGGCAGTACTTAGTCCTTTTGAGTGAATGTCTGAGTCCATTGTGGTGACGGATGTAACGCTCTGGCACCCGAATTGGCTGCACTGCTCCTTCTTCCTTGCTCTTGGTCCTGGGCAACCTGCAGCAATGCACAGGTGCTGACTGCTATCATGACAAGGCGTCTTCACCATCTCCATCTCTGAACTGTCTCTCCTGTCTTTGTGGCTGGAGCAATCTGGTCAGTTGGGATCTATTGTTGCAGGAAGCCACATGGCCTGGGAGCTGTTTTTCTGAAAATATACAAATGTATTCTCGACCAAAGGTTAATAAAGAAAACCTTACTTAGGATTTTTTCTTTGAAACGATCTTCTCCTGGCTTAACCTGGCATAATGTGTGTTTTTTCTGGGTGTCTCTCTAATGAAAAAATTTTAATTTAATTATAGGATCTATTTTCTTACATGACATTTTTCCACTATATTTTTCCACTATCCCCCCCCCCCTTTTTTTATTTAATTAGGAGGATTTTTGGAAAATATATAATGCAGTCTAGATAACATTTTTGTATGTTAAGCAATTTTACCACGAAATGAAAATTTTGGTTAATACTTTTGAATACTTATTTCAAAGTAGCCAAATTTAATTAATTTGAAAACTTAACAACTATTTTACTGTCAAATTTAATATTTTAATAATAATCTTAATTTACACTGTAAATATTAATTGAAAGGATCACTTTACGTCCTTGAGGAGGCTTAAGCATTTCTGTTGTTAGGCTAGATTTAAATTTAGAGTCTGTTAAACTAAGCCTTCATTTTTCTGGGTACCATTTTCAGCTGGGCCAAGTCTCTTCTGTTATTTGGTTCCTGATCTGGGCTGGGCATGGGAAGCAAGAAGCAGCCATGGGGACAGGAGACCTTCCTCAGAAGGGGCGAGTGTTCAAGCCCCTGCACCATTGTGGGGGGTGAGGATCTGTGCCCCACCTCTGGTGAACCCCAAGTTTTCTCCTACTGGCCCCCGACTGTGCCTGTCTTAGGTCGCCCCACCCTGTGGGGTCTTACCCGTCTTTGACTACCAGCCATCTCTGGGCCAAGTAGGGTGATGTGAGGTTTAGTTCTGTCTCCTTGTTAACTTATGTCCCTCTGGCCTCCATGCCCACCAACTGCCTTTGGATCCCCTCGCCTGCTGGCCGGGCCCAGGCATTGATCATAGGGAACCCAGGTTTCTTCTCCAGAGAGGGCCCATCTTATACCATTGGGCAAGAGACAGATCCATGGTACCAGCCACCATGATCACAGCTTGAACGGAGAGCTTAGGTAACAGCTGTAGACAACTGGATTGTGAGAAGAGGAAATCCTCTTGGAAAAAAGGTCAAGAGAGGTCAATACAGAATGCTTAAGTGCCTTCCCAGGGGGCCTTCCACACACTGGAAGGGAATAAATCCTTTTATGTCCTTAAATATTAAATTGTTGCCAAACATTCAAAGAATTTGTAAGTTTGTTTGGGATAAATGCACAATATACTGTTTTAAAGCATCAAAATTATTAATGAAACTTGTAGAATAATACAAGAATATTCTTTGAATATCCTTTGCTCTAGGTCATGACAATTCAATTTTAAATTGGCTGACTCGAGGTTTGGAATGAGGAACCTAGTTTGCAAAAAAAGCAATTTACAGAAACAGAGACAGCATGCTATCCAAATTACAGTTTTGGGTAAATACATTATCTAGAGTCCTTGGGTAACCTAGGTTAAACTTAGGCATATTATCTAAATTACAGTTTTGAGTCTCCAGAACACTGAGTTGACACGCTAACTGGAGCCCTCTGACCTTGGGATAGTTGTGCTGTCCTTCCCAGGTAAAGGAAAATTGTGCCTTCTAAGACCAATATGAAACTTACAGTTTTTACCTGAGTTAATTGTTACCATACTTCACTTTACTATGCCCCAGGTGGTCTCTGAGCTGTTGGTTGTCTGGTTTGTCTTCTTTCTGCTGGATTACACTTGGAGAACTTCAACTTAAAAAAGAAAAATCTTTCTCTTTTACACCAAGTAACCCAGAGGATTATTTCTTGGATCTTGACTGAGAGTGCCGCAAGGCCATGTATTCCAAGTCACAGTCATTAAACATTTATGGTGACTGTACTTATTTTCAGATTTGGTATTTTAACAGCAAATCATTAGATTATCCTATAAATATTAGTGGAAGATATTTCAAAATATTAAAATTTCTCCTTTTTATAAAATTTAAAATAATATTTTTAAACAGCATTCCCTTTCGGCTTATTTGCATATACAGAGGGATCATGGGAAGCCTTCAGTAACTTTTTAGAAGAATTTTACTTTACTAGGATTAAATTGCTTACAAAGATTAGTAAATTTAGTAATTTTATGTCTGATACACGAGGTGCAAACGCTGCCCCACCTCCAGCCTAATTTAAAATGCAGTGGTGTGGTGCTTTTGTTAGTTTAAATAAAGACATTACTACTAATAAATCAATTTTTTCTTTTATTTGGAAGATATTTCTTATGCAACCAAGCATATTATATTTTGAAATATTGCACTTGGGAAAAACTGTCAAATACATATCTAATTAAAAAATTTTCAACATTTAAAAGCAGTTCTCAACATAATAGGATCTAGTCTTGACCATGGAATCAATTACTCTTTTTTTGTTTATGATATATGTATAACTGTGGTTCTACTGAGAATTTAAGATGACTTAAAAATGTCTCTTATCTACAAGCCTTTTAAGAAATATGAGCTCTATTGTCCGCCCTTATAAAGCCAACTGCTTAAAACATTGGTCTATCATACCACTGAAATTATAAAGACCGTGATTGCTAATTTATTAAGTATTAAAAATATTTTCTTAAAAATAGTATTAAATAAATTCGTGAGGCAAGCACACTTTCTGCCCCATCCACATTTCCGTAGTAAAACTCCGCCTTAAAGCTCCACCCCTGAAATCCCATCCTGCCTCAGTGAGCAGACATTCCTTTTGTGATTGATTAAATCAGAGGGCGGGGCCTTTGCTGTTTCAAGATTGCAGCCCCCAGGGGAGCGGCAGGTCATGCGGACAACATGGCGGCTGCCAAGTCAGGCAGCTCAAAGTGGCGGCTGTCTACACTGTTCTTTGACAGAGCAAACCAAAACCCCTAAAAGATAGATGACCAACATTATATTGTAGACAAACAGAAATCTCATTAGCTGTTTATACCCTTTATAATTATCTTAGAGAATATCAATCAAATTTAAACTGGTTTTTGTATTAAAAAATTTTCAGTTGAGATCATAAAATTAATCCTCTTTTTAAATCAGACCAATGAGTAACATATTTTGAATTCCTAATCATTTAAGAGAAAACACATTTTATTTTTTCAAAAACAAATTATACATTTATACATTAGATATTTAATTTCTCCCGATTCAATTTGCACTTTAAACTTTCAGAGCTTACAAGTCAAATATTAGTAGTTCTTTGATTAACTACACTTTTATATTTTTAAGAATAAATTTTAAAATCTAATAATTAACTTTAAACCATGTTTTTTCTGCACGGGGAAACTGAGAAACAAACTTGTATTAAAAAATGACTACTGGCGGAAAGCTGATTTCAAAGGAGCCACCTTTTGGCCGCTTGACCTTTTCTGGGAAGGTCAGCTAGCAAAAGGTGTAGCCATTGAAATGCAAATTAACATTCCTAAAGATGGCTGCTGGCAGGAAGTGGATTACCTGAATGCTAGGAGAAGGGCATGTCTACCCCTCCCTCCATTAAAAAAAGCGTGTAACTTTAAACTTTTTTAATGGCAAAAAAAGAGACTTTTACATTTAAGGATACATTTCAAATAAAATATAAGGCATTTTCAATTAATAGATTAACTTCTATCATCTAGATTTCATACTAGGCATACTCAGATCAACATTTCAATATTATAAATCTCAATACTTTTCGATGATTTGAACTTAAAAATGGTCACAATTTTCCTGCTGGGGAAGTCAAGAAGCAAAACCATAGCTATTCACATGTAAGCTTGACTATCAACTTCCTGGTGGTACTTGCCTCAGGGCGGGAAATTTCAAAAGAGCTACTTTAGATCGCCTTGGGAAACCAGCCTGCATTTCTTTCTCAGGTTCATCTCCGCCATTTTTAAGGCCAAAACAGTCTCGGGTTTTTATTCTGTACACAGCAAAAGGTAAAGTTCAGCTCAAAACTATGTGCACTCGTTTTTAAACTGGCCTTCTCCCTTTACATGTGCACAGAAATCCCAGATGCATTTATGAATTTGTAAAAGCTTTAAGTCATTAGCTGGAAAAGATAAAGATGGCGAAGATGAGGCGAAGAAGTGGCTTTCTTGGGGAGTGACGTCCATATTGGATGGCCACGTGAGATTCCCCACCTAGTTTCTTAGGGGGAAGATTCAGTAATGGTCTGGCATTTACTCTTTTTATTATATTTATTTTTCAATTTTTATTTATTTTTATTTTTTTAAGGAAAGAAAAGATTTTTTAAGATAAAGAATCATCGGCAGTTCCTGAGAAATTCCTTTAATCCTTTTCTACTTGGTTACAAGTAGTTTACACGTGGAGGCAGAGGACGTGCAGATGGTATTCTTAGAGACTCGCACCCTTCCACTCCAGGCTGTAAGGCCGTGGCTGCACCCCACTTAGACATTCTTAAACTCTCCTGTGCCAAATCAAGGCCATCACCAATTAAAATAGGAATTTTCTTTGGACTTTTTGCTGAGTATTGGTCACACAACTGCTTTCAAACCTTTTCCCAGGTTTCATCAACAAAGCTTAAGAAAGAAATCAAGAATTTGACTACAATTAACAGAGCATAGTTTAAAGCATTTTTTTGAGGATTACCCACGTTTTACACCTAGCTATTTCATATCAATTCACAACAATACACTCCCCTTACCTTATTCCTTTAAATCTGTGTGCACACGCTTCTGGGAGTGACCCCCTCGCTTTCTTCTTTTGCCTCCGTACTCAGTCCCTGTTGGGGGGCGCCAAATGTGGGGGGCTGTTTCTCTCTTTTCCACGTCCCGCATGGAAAAGGAAACAGTCCATTTGCTGAGTGGAGGAGCTGGGGATTAAGAAATTAAAGAAAGACCAAGACGCAGAAATAGATTTTAAGCTGGGGCCAGGTGGGCGCCATCCTCTCTGATGGAGAGGCGGCAAAAAGCGGCTGAGCCACACAGCAGGTTTATTTTAAAGCCCTAGATTTACCTATCTAGTTCCACCCCTGCCTGATTAACATGTCCAGCCTTATTGGGGAAGCATGTTCCCAGGGTGTGGCTCTGCCTAAGCTCTGAGTTCAGCTGACAATAATTATAAGAAAATGCCTAGGTGCTTCCCTGGCGGCCCTCTACAAATAATAATTAAAATTTCAAGGATAAAATAAAGCTACAATAAGATCCCAGATATTAGAATAATGACTCTCACCATCTCCCTATTCCTCCTTTCTCATGACCTCTCATCATTTTAGAGAATAAGATAAAAGAATGATGATATACATTATGTCACATCTTTTTCTTCAATTTTTCTTATTTTATAGAAATTGAGCAAATACAGGGAAAATGTAAATCATGATCAATAGAATTAAGTTATTAAGTTCTAACTCCTAATTTTTAATCAAACTACTCACCTGAAACACTTGCCTACTAATTGGAAGTCAAGAAATATACTTTGGGCCAAAATCGGTTTGGCTCAGTGGATAGAGCGTCGGCTTGTGGACTGAGGGGTCCCAGGTTCGATTCCAATCAAGGGCATGTACCTGGGTTGCGGGCACATCCCCAGTGGGAGATGTGCAGGAGGCAGCTGATCGATGTTTCTCTCTCATCGATGTTTCTAGCTCTCTATCTCTCTCCCTTCCTCTCTGTAAAAAATCAATAAAATATATTTAAAAAAAAGAAAAGAAAAGAAATATACTTTGGAAATAAATAATTATCCTATAATTTTCCAATGAATTTTTTAGGATTGGCTCTTAATATCATGTCATGCCAAAAGTTCCTATTATCCTAGTTAGAAAGATACGTTGATGAAAAATAACTTTAAGAAATATTGACAAGGAAAAATTTAAAATAAAGGTACAGACCTGGGTATTTTGCTGCTTTCTCCAAAAAACTGTAACTATAGCTGCTGAATGCATTCATGTACTAGCTCCACAGTACAGGAGAGAAAAGTTAGATTTCAACTAATTCTGTGTTTGTTAAGTGCACACAAAATTGTTGACTTAGTTCTCAACAGGGAAAGGCAATGTCCTTCTCCTAGGAGTTCAAAACCTAAAACAAGCAAATGTTGTACAAGCTAAGTAATGACAATTGGAATGAAAAGAGGATAATGTCTTCTAATCTTTGAGAATAGGAACCCAAAATAAATGTATAAATAATTTACCTCTTATTACCTTATTTTAAAACTGTGGGACATTATTTTCTGAAATTGCCATTTTAAAATTTATGAAAGCAATGCTAATTCTCTCAGAGTTAAAAATATACAGTGTAGTTATTGAGGCATCAGTTCTCATACACTGGATCCTTCCACATGTCACATGGCTACATGATATTCCCAAGTCATGGATTTTGCCGTTTGATCTCTGATGCAGTTTGAAGATATTTCAGTGGTCCAGAAGCTAGGCAGTTCTCTGAATACACTAAGTATACATATGAAACAGCTCAAATGTACAAGTGCTTCCATCAACAATTACTTCAAAGGTCATTAATAACTTACAGGTGTTAGAGTGGAAATGACCTCTGCACTCCCCTGGCCCTTCCTGAACTCTGGTTACTCTCTCTGGGCCATTTTTGTAACAGTGAATTCTTAACTTGATATTTCTCTTTATCCATTTTTCCTACGCTGGCTATAGGGCTTTTAAGATGACATTTCAAAATTTTCTAGGAAAACAGAAAATAAAAATGCTTCAGTGTGTTAATTCTAGGGAGTCTTTTTCTTTTCTTGTTTGTCCTTATGTTATTATAGAGGACAGCAATTTAAATCACTCTTGAGAATCCTATCTAATAAAAGAGAAACATGGTAATTAGCATACGACCGCTACCCTTCCCATTGGCTAATCAGGGCGATATGCAAATTAACTGCCAGCCAAGATGGCGGCCGGCAGCCGGGCAGCTTGAAACTAACATGAGGCTTGCTTGCTTCAGTGACGGAGGAAACCAACATTCCCTGCCTGCCTTGCCGGCCTCTGAGCCTGCAGTTTGAAACATTGTAACAAATATAGAAGCTAAACAAAACCCCAGAAACCTGCTTTCAGCGAGCCGGGATCTCAGAGCTGGAATTATACATTGTTTCGAACTGAAACAACCAGATACCTGCTTTCAGCAGCGGAGGCCTAAGAGCTGGAGCCTCAGAACTAAAGCTGGCCCAGAATAAAAAAAAAAGAAAAAAAGGAGCTGTTGGGAGCTTCCATCACCCGCCAGCCTGAAAACAGCCCTCGGCCCCTCACCCAGACTGGCCAGGCACCCCAGTGGGGACCCCCAGACTGAAGGAAGTGTGACCAGCTGCAAACAGCCATCAACCCCTCATCCAGGCAGGCCAGGCACCCCAGTGGGGACCCCCACCCTGATCCAGGACACCCTTCAGGGCAAACCAGCCGGCCCCCACACGTGCACCAGGCCTCTATCCTATATAGTAAAAGAGTAATATGCCTCCCAGCACCAGGATCAGCAGAGCCAAGAGGTCTCCCGGCACCGGGATCAGCGTGACAGGGGGCAGCGCCTAAACCTCCTGATCACCCTGTGGCTCTGTGTGTGACAGGGGGTGGGGCCACAACCTCCCTATCCGCCTTGCTCTGTTCGTGACAGGGGAAGGCGCCCCAACCCCCTGATCAGCCCTGCTCTGTGCCTGATAGGGGGGAGCTCCCCAACCCCCTGATCGCCCTGTGGCTCTGTGTGTGACAGGGTGTGGCGCCCCAACCCACCCCCCACAGGCCCTGCTCTGTGTGTGACGGGGTAGAGCCATAACCTCCCCATCGGCCCTGCCCTGAGTGTGACAGTGGCGGCGCCCCAACCCCATGATCGGCCCTGCTCTGTGGGTGATAGAGGGCGACGCCCCAACTGCCCCCCACGGGCCCTGCTCTGTGTGTGACGGGGTGGTGCCCGAACTCCCCTATCGGCCCTACTCTGTGAGTAACAGGGGGGAGCTCCCCAACCCCCTGATGGGCCCTGCTCTGTGCGTGACAGGGGGGAGCGCCCCAACCCCCTGATCGACCCTGCTCTGTGCGTGACAGGGGGTGGCGCCGCAACCTCTCCATCGACCCTGCCTTGAGTGTGACAGGGGGCGGTGCCCCAACCCCCCAATTGGCCCTATCCTGAGCATGACTGAGGGTGACATCACAACCTCCCGATCCGCCCTGCTCTGTGCATGACAGGGGGCGGTGCCCCAACTCCCCAATCGGCCCTGCTCTGAGCCCGACCAGGGGCTGCACCTAGGGATTGGGCCTGCCCTCTGCCATCCGGGAGCAGGCCTAAGCCAGCAGGGCGTTATCTCCCGAGGGGTCCCAGACTGCGAGAGGGCACAGGCCGGGCTGAGAGACACCCCCTTACCCCCCGAGTGCACAAATTTTTGTGCACCGGGCCTCTAGTCCTATATAATAAAAGAGTAACATGTAAATTGACCATCCCTTTGCTACACTCACCAGCCAATCAGGGTGAATATGCAAATTAACCTGACAAAGATGGTGGGTTAATTTGCATGCACAGGCGCCAGGCGGAGAGCAGAAGCGGGAGAGCCGGCAGCTTGGGGGGACGTGGCTCCCTTGGTTGCTCCCTTGGGGGGACTTGGCTCCCTCAGTTGCCAGGCGGAGAGCAGAGCAGGAAAGCCAGAGGCTTGGGGGGCCGTGGCTCCCTCGGTCACTCCCAGCACGAGGAGCACCAGAAATTCTGGGAATAGTAGTTCTGATGGCAGCCCCAGGACCAGAAGCGGAAGCCCAGAGCACGGGGAGCACCAGGAATGCTGGGAATCGTAGTTTTGGTGGCAGACTGATCTCCTAGACCAGTGCTCGGCAAACTGCGGCCCCTTGAGTGTGGCTCTTCCACAAAATACCACGTGCCAGCACACATGTACAGTGCGATTGAAACTTCGTGGCCACACTGAAGGGGCCAAAGAGCCGCATGTGGCTCGTGAGCCGCAGTTAGCCAACCATGGTCCTAGACCAGTGGTTCTCAACCTCGGCTGCACATTAGAATCACCTGGGAATCTTTCTAAAATCCTGATTTCTGGGCCTCATCCTCCAGAAATTCTGTTTCTTTGTTACTAATGTTGTGGCCCCACCCCATAACAAAGAAACAGAATTTCTGGAAGATGAGACTCAGAAATCAGGATTTTAAAAAGATTCCCAGGTGATTCTAATGTGCAGCCAAGGTTGAGAACCACTGTCCTAGAGCAAAGTGAGCCTGGAGCAAGTTACTGTTGCAGTGGGGATGGAGGGAAAGCAAAGGTGAGAGACATAAATAAAATCAGAGTGTCTAGGAAAAACTAAAGGGAAGATGTCCTAAAACTTCCAGGAAATCTCCACCAATGAAGCAAAGAAAAAAAATGCCTCTATTATTCTGTGAGCAACAAACCAAACTGGGTTAGGGGTCTCAGACAATTCGTTCATATGATGGCAAAGACAGACAGAAACTCCCGGATTGGAGAGGGCTCTCCTGAGGGCTCCCAGATTGGAGAGGGTGCAGGTCGGGCTGAGGGACCACTCCCCCACCGTCGTGCACGAATCTTCTGCCTGGCTTGAAACATGAGAAAAATCTGATGGACTCCTAAAATCTGCTTGGTTTCTACTATTGCTGAAGATAGGCTGCACAATTTCACTAGTTTCTCCAAAAAGGCCAATGAACTATGTGTGAGAGAGAAGGTTAATTATACATCTAGATCAGAGTTTCTCAACAGTGGAACTATTTATATTCTGGTCTGGATAATGCTTTGCTGTAGGGGATTTTCCTGTGCATAATAGGATACATAGCAGCATCCTTGGCCTCTACCCACTACATGCAGGTAACATACCCACACACATAACACCCCAGTTGTGACAACCAAAAATGTCTCCAGACATTGCCAGATGTCCTCTGAGGAGCAAAATCACCCCTAGTTGAGAACCACTGAACTAGATGAAGGAGTTTTCTGATTCTGAGCCTATGAATATGAATCAAGGCCACATCAGGGCAAGCCAAATAAGACAGTTAGATGTATGTTTACTCGTTGGGTGAAGGGATACGGGCACAGTGCTAAAGTATCACTGCGTAGATTCTAACTACAAAGGAGAAAAATTATAGAACTGGCAGTCACC